ATATTCAGTATTCACTTTTATTTTCGATAGGTATGCATATTATTATGATACATTTATGTACAATGTACATACATATTATTAATATTATAACTTTAATATTGTATCATTACGATTTTTTTTTTTTTATAATCATTATTTAATTTTCGAAATACTTATATCAGCTATTTATATTTTTGTTTGCAACGTTATAATATTATAATATAATATATATTGAATTAAACCCGCGGCAATTGAGTGGAAATTATGAAATTATAAATTAATAATAAATTATAAATTACAAAATAGTAATAACACATTAACACAATATAAGTACACTTAAAGTTGAAAGTTACAATGCGATAATGATGTTAAATTTTGTTGAAGAGATCGGAGGTGATGATAAATTGTATTTAGGCGGCGCAATTGAGTTGTGGTCCTGGTTGAGTGCTGACGAGAGTGCATCCGGAAACATGATAGATATTATATCATTGTATTGTATTATTCATTGTACGAATACAATAAAAGCAGATAAGATAGTAAAATAAATGGTTTTATTATATTATTTATAAGTTACAAATAAAATGTATTATTAAATAAACGTATATATTATAATATACGTTGAAATAATTATTATTAAGTAGGTAAGTACCTGTGTAAAATATATATCTATTAATCGTTTTATTATAATGTAATTCATTTATTTGTATATATTTAGATATCTATACTATTTAAGTATATGTACATGGTATACAGTATTACTGTACAATAGTACGCGATAATATTGTAGTGATATAATAAATATTGTTGTTTACGTTTTCATATTGTTTCWTAGCTCCTAAACAACACAAGGGACAAGAGGTATAGGACATATTTTACCATCTTGTTATATTATAATAATATGTAAATATTGGATTGGTTTTTTTAAATAAACACTTGTYACATCAAAAAGTAGGTACTGACGTTKTAAATAATATTTTTAATTCATTACAAAKCCTGGCGTTTGAAAAAATATTATTATTTTACTATTTTTATTTTTATGATTTATACCGTTTTTACTTAATTGAATACCTACCTAGTTAGTCTTACGTTATTGGTATCAAACAATTTTAATTTCATTATCAGAAACATACTCTGAACATTTTAATAGACACATTTAAATTGAATTTTACAAACAAGTACCTATGTATTAATTAGTAACAAGTTTTGAAAGTTTTGATGAGCATAGTGGCGAAGGGCCGTATGACCCRCAAATTTTTGGTCTACAACTCTGGCTCGTCAAAACTTAAAACATTTATATCAATTATAACTAATTAACCAATAACGTATTCGATATTTTACAAATCATTTAAATTTGTAAATATTAAATTCAAATTATGTAGTAAGATATTTCCGCTCAACAAAACTATAAATGCTTATAACAATTACGACATATCAGTTATAAGTTAAAAGTAATAACTATATACTTGTTTGAAATTTTAAACAGGCACAATATCATTATATGTTATTTTGCCATATGCCATCACATGGCGTCAAATAAATAAATAGTAAACATGCGTAAATTATATAAAAAATATTTTCAACAATGTCAATAATTTTAAATTTATATAAATATTTAAAAATACTAAATAACTAAAATAAAAACTAAATAATAAATATTTAGTGTTTACCTATTGTTAAATTAATCTGTTTGCAAACATACATTTTAGATATTAATTATTAATAATCAAATTGTTATTATTTACTTGTAATATCATTTAATAATTAATTTAAATAATAGAATTTATCTATACTCTCCCATCATTGGTGATAATAGCTTAACTATAAATTAATAAACAAAAAATTTATATTTTTATTAGTATTTTTTTATATTCATAATATTTTATATTAGTATACTAATTTAAAATATTTTAAGTTAAATATTATTTGTTATAATAAAGCAAATAAAATAAATTGATTAAATCATAAATTTGAATATTATGTAATTTAACTATTGGTGCATTGAATTGAGTTAAAGTCTTTATAAAACTCTTACGTTATCATAAATATATGCAATAAAKACAATATTATGTTTCTGTATGACCACAAAATAACTGTTATTCCGCTAAGATAAGCATCACATGTATATTATAATCATAATAAATTAGTAACTAATATAATTAACTACAAATGTCTGTCTTGTATCTCATTTTAACAGAATGATTTAAATTAAATCTGCAGTCTGCACGGCGCCTCTTCCGTATGTTCTTCGATTTCTTCGTAACATAATTTATTTATTATCTTTATTATTATAAATTATTATGCACTTTTAAAGATATTAAACCCTTAAAAGAATATTACTTATTGGATTCTTCACTCATAAGTTTGTTATATTAAGGTTGTAATAAAAAATTTTAATATCTTATTTAGAGATGTGCCATCAGATAGGTAACATATTCATTAATAAAAGGTGATTGATTGGAGTTTTTCGGCGTTTTTGAGAATTCCTGTCGAGTTACATAATCCCTCGATCTGTTGATCTTTTATTATTATAATAGTATAYAATATAATGTAGGTGCATACAAAAATTCAGTATTTTTTTCAGAAATATCTACAACAAAAGGTTAAAACCAGACAAACCGTTAGAATATTTTGGTTTTTGGTATTTTGTTTTACATTTCTCTGTGACGAGACTTGTAATTTTTTGTAACTCTGTAATACACGCGTTAGTGCAGGGCTGTATACCACTATAAGTACATAGTGAAATCTGAATAGTGATGAATGCATTATGAGGGTATACGTAACCGTCGGGTCAGTATTTCTCACAAAAATAACTTTTCTGCAGATGCCTAAATTGGATTTTTGGTAAATGTTCCGTTTTATGTAAATKAGATTGCTATACAAATCTACAATATATATGTATAGGTATCTGGTATTCCAGAAACTTCCGTGGTTTTAACGAATAAYACATTCACCGAGGGTCATATATRTACCACTTGTGTTTTATTTTAAGGTGGCAAACTGGCAACTGACTATTTTTTTTACCCGTCTGTGAGTGAAATAATTCTATTGAGCACTGCAGTATACGTAACGGYGCAATCACACTTTAGCAGAATTTAAAAAACAAAAATTTTACTATAAATAAGATACGGCGAGTTATGTATTTAGTATTTACACTGTTTACAGAAGCACATTATAAGAATGGATGTGGTTAAAGTCCAGTATTTTATTTGAATTTAATTTGATCTCGGTATCCTTATACATTTCCGAGCAGAAATTATRTCATCTACATCCACACATCGTCAAACCGACCCATTCTTATAAATATTCTTAATATGACATACGGGTTATACGTCACCACCAGTGTCGTCTCGAGGGCAGAACAAACGGGGCACGGGGCACATGCCCAGGACCTCGCGCCTCCAAGGGTACATACAGTAATATAATATATTATCGTGTTAATAATGAAATATTTCCAAACATTTTAGCATATAATATTGTAAGTCTAGGGCCTCGCAAAACTTGGGAACAGCACTGGTCACCCCCAGGACCACCCATTAATTACAGTGTTGCATATTATTACGACAAATTACTAGATTACACTACSWMST